GCTGCCATAGATGCTTATCCTAAATCTTCCTAAGGGCTGATTTATTTTCTTTTAAGTATGAGAGAATCTTGCTCAGCGAGAGGATATTTGTAGCTAGAGAGATACACGTAAAACTTCTGCTGCTGAACATGTCACTGCACTAAGGGAATGTTCTATATTTTAAAAATGAGTCCATTTCCAAGATTAATATCAAATCCCTGGCAACCAAACACAGCCAAGGATGTGTGAATCACACAGACTTCAATGGGTATTTGAATGCAAACATTTTGGAATAAAGTACAGAATCTTGGAAACCACAATAGAAACCATGATTTATCACTGAGTTTCTACAGGTGGAATCTCTTTGAATGCCTTTTTAATATATAAATTATATTGAGAGTATTATAAACATAAATACTGTGGATACAGTTCTACAGAGGAATTATTGAGCCTGCCATCTGCACCTCTATAACTGTCTGGTTTGGTTCTGCAACCCAACAAAGACACAGACTTCAGAGGATAATTAGGACTGCAGATAAAACAATTACTACCAGCCTGCCTTCCATGGAGGATCTGTATACTGCACGAGTCAAAAAGAGGGCTGTGAAAATATTTACAGATCCCTCACATCCTGGACATAAATTGTTTCAACTCCTACCCTCAAAACGACGCTATAGAGCACTGCACATCAGAACAACTAGACACAAGGACAGTTTTTTTTCCCGAATGCCATCACTCTGCTAAACAAATAATTCCTTCAACACTGTCCAACTATTACAAAGTCTGCACTACTATTACTATTAATCTTCTCATCACTCCTTATCACCCATCCCCTCCCACTTGTGACTGTATGACTGTAACTTTGTTGCTTGTCTCCTTACGATCTATATTGACCGTTTCCTAGTATGATTTGATTGCTTATTGTACCCTATGACTATTATTAAGTGTTGTACCTGATGATTCTTGACTCTTGACAATTTCTTTTATGTACACTGAGAGCATTTGCACCAAGACAAATTCCTTGTGTGTCCAATCACACTTGGCTAATAAATAAATAATTCATTCAATCATCCATTGCTAAGCAAAACTTCTGTTCACTAAATTTCAGAATAAAACAACTCGCCATGGCCAACCTGCTGTGGGACAACTCAACAATTCAATTTGATTCTTTCAAGTAACTAAAAAAAAAAATCAATTTTTGTCATTCACTTTTTATTTTGTCCACCCTTTGGCATCCTTTCTTTAGTGATTCTATTTGACTATTTCTTCTATATTAGTGTACCTCTTGTCCTGTGGCGAGTTGTCTCACAGCGAATTGGCTGTTGTGAGTTGCCCTAATCTGAAATTCATAGATCCAGTGAATTTTGCCCCATTTTACGACCTGTCTTGCCACGGTTGTTAAGTGAATTGCTGTAGTTGTTAATTTAGTAACACAGTTGTGAAGTGACTGTCAGGGCTCTAGTAGTTACCCCCATTTAAATCATGAGTCTCTAGCCAGATTTCCAGAGCTTAAAGAAGATTTATTAGGAGTAAACATGCCAGCACTGCCTGGGTGTAGTCAACTCTGCAAAACATCATTCATTGTCACCCTTGACCCTAGTTTTCCCCCACTCCCTGGGTGTATCATAATTCATATTCTCCAATGGGACACATCCATAGCCAAGAGTCCTCAATCATGCTCTCCAGTTAGAATTTTGCAAGGCAGAAACTTCAGTCACCTAGTTACTATCTTGGGAAACATTTATGGAATGCACTTTCGGTTTGCAAGCTGCCACATTGCTTTTCCCCCCCTCCCTTTCTGTTGGCAACTCTAAAAGACCATAGAAATATTTTATGAGTTGGCAGTGACTCTGCCTTTCCTGTTGACTTTGCTTGCCAGAAGGTCGCAAAAGGGGATCACTCATTCCAAAATCCCAGCAACCAGTTTGCTACCCAGTTGCTGGGTGGGTATGGCCATGGTGGGCCTGGCCTACCAGAACTTCCTGGAGGGCCATTTTTCACCTACCCCAGAATCCGGAGGCTTCCCTCAGGTCTGCGGGAGGGCAAAAACGGCCTCCCCCTCCCAGAGCCTCCGCGAGGACCCTGCACAACTGGACTTTCTGATTTTTCTTTAAGAAGCTTTGGTCTCCATACTTCTCAAACAGAATCTGCCCATCATAGTAAAGACTCAATTCAAATATACAGTTGATACCCTGTTGACATTTCCAAACAACTACTTTTAGATTGGAGGGGGGGGGGGACATTCCTTTCTCTCCATCCCTGGCTAGAAAAACATCAAACGTAACCAAGTAAAGACATCCCGAATGCCACAATCAGCTTTAAAAAAAAATCACTGTCAATCAGGGTTATGATGCAAGATTCAAGGAGCTTAAATCTATGTGGTTTGAAAGGAAATCAGGTTGATGTCTCCAGTTTTCCAGGCCAGAAAGAATTCTGGAGAGGAAGAATTCTGCAATTTTTCTTGAAATAGAAAGAAGATGAAACAATGTCCAAAGTGACGAGAGGGGGTGGGGGCATATCACTCCTCCTTCTCCTCCTTCTTCCCCTCCCCCTCCACAAACCCTATTTTCTAGTGCTGATAATGTTACCTAGTTTGGTAATGAAATGTCTGCAAGAAAACCACCAAGCTAGAGAGCAACAAAGACCTCACAGTCCTTCTACTCCTCTTCTTCTTTACAGATCTTACCTCCTTCTGGCACTGATAATGTTAGCTAGTTGGATAATGAAACATCTTCAAGCAAACAACTAAGCTCAGATAACACCAAGGAGCCTACAGATCAACATTGAGCTATGAATATTTTCTTCTATTGATAGATGGGGAAAAAAGCGGAGACATCACCCTGCCAACAAAAGTGCGCATCGTCAAAGCTATGGTTTTCCCAGTTGTAATGTATGGCTGTGAAAGCTGGACAATAAGGAAGGCTGAGTGCCAATGAATGGAGGTCTTTGAACTATGGTGCTGGAGAAGAATCCTGAGAGTCCCTTGGACTGCAAGGCGATCCAACCGGTCAGTCCTAGAGGAGATCAACCCTGGGTCTTCTTTAGAAGGCTAGATCCTGAAGATGACACTCAAACACTTTGGCCACCTAATGAGAAGGAAGGACTCACTGGAGAAGAGCCTAATGCTGGGAATGATTGAGGGCAAAAGAAGAAGAAGGGGACGGCAGAGAAGGAGGTGGCTTGATGGAGTCACTGAAGCAGTCAGCGTGAGCTTAAATGGACTCCAGAAGATGGTAGAGGACAGGAAGGCCTGGAGGAACGTTGTCCATAGGGTCGCTATGGGTAAAACATGACTTTATAACTAATAACATTGGTAGAGATATGCCTTAAATCTCCATCCTTCCTCGAACTGTATATAACCGATGCAAGCAAAGATATTAAAAATCCAGTGTCTGAGATGGACAGTGCTAAGTCATTCTTCATTCTCTTTTCCCTCCTGCTTTGCATAGATATGCTCCTTCTTTCAGTAGTCTATCTCCTTCCGAATTCAATTTCGTCTCCTTCAGGACATTCTTCCAAATCTCTTCTTCCACTTGGACCTCGCCGGAAGAGAAGGACAAAGCACCCAAACAATGATCTTCTCATTGAGCTCTCGTCTCGACCTATCTCTGTTCCTTCATGCTTGACTCACTTCATGTACAATGTCAGGAATTTGCATGTCACATCCTTTCACCTCCTTTGGCTACTAACAAGTAAAGTAGATGTGACATTTCCAGAGCAGCCAAATGGTTCTTCCTTATTCAGTCCAGATTTTATAAACTAAAACCAAAGAAGAAGAGAAGTTTGAATGGTTGCACGAATTGGGTATGTCTAGTCTGATGAAAAGAAGGACTAAGGGTAACAGGATCACAGTCTTCCAATATTTGAGGAAATGTCACAGAGAAGAGGGGTTCAAATTATTTTCCAAAGCATCTGAAGGCAAGACAAGAAACAATAGACGGAAACTAATCAATGAGAGAACCTAGAACTAAGAAGAAATTTTCTGAGAGTAAGAACAATCAACCAGTGGAACAACTTCCCCTCCAGAACAACTTCCCCTCCAGAAGTTGTGGGTGCTACATCACTGGAAGCTTTTAAGAAGAGATTGGACAGCCATTTGTAACAGTATAGGGTCTCCTGTTTGGACAGGGGGTTGGACTAAATGATTTCCAAGGTCCCTTCCAACTCTGCTATTCTCTTATTCTCAGTAATCCATGGAGATCTCTGGGAAGGGATTTGAAAAAAAAAAACCATCAGAGTTTAGATCAGGGGTCTCCAACCTTGGCAACTTTAAGACTTGTGGACTTCAACTCTCAGAATTCCTCAGTCCACAAGTCTTAAAGTTGCCAAGGTTGGAGACCCCTGGTTTAGATCAATGCTAGCAAGAATCCTTGCCAAAGATTCAACTTTCCCTAAAGAATATCCATGCTGTGAACAGATAGGAGTTGCACTGACTTCTTAAATATAACGAGGTAGCCAAGATACAGGTATTCTTTACAACTATTAGTTTAGGGGCCATTTTGCAGGATATGACCTTACGTACTTTGTTAATGAAACCTTTGAAAGAAAGCTCCCAAGTTCCGAGGGTCAGGTCAAAAGTGTCACAAGTCACAAATCCCTTCCTGCCCATCAGAGATTTACATCCACCTTCAATGCCTCTCTCTTATCTCCTGCTCGCTTCCCTTGTCCGTTAGTTGGTCAGATTCTTGTAGAGAGCTTAAGCTTGCAATAAATCTCTGCAATCATTTGAACGGCTTGAATCTTCTGATTTCCCTGATGCTTGATGCATTTGAAATTACAGAAGCATCACTGCAAGAAGGAAGTGAGATTTGGGAGGGGAGGAGGAGGAGGAGGAAGAGGAGGAAGAAGAGGAGGAGGAAGAGGAGGAGGAGGATCCTTGGTGCTCTCTGACCTTGGTTGTTTTCTTGCAGACATTTCATTACTCAAGTATAGAAGAGCTGCAGTGGCTAGAATGGAGTACTGCAGGCTAATTCTGCCGACTGCCAGGAGTTCGATCCTCACCATCTCAAGGTTGGCTCAGCCTTCCATCCTTCCAAGGTGAGTAAAATGAGGCCCTGGATTGTTGCGGGCAAATAGGCTGACTCTATAAACCACTTAGAGAGGGCTGCAAAGCACTCTGAAGCGGTATATAAGTCTGAGTGCTATTCCTAGCAATATTACTACAATGTCACTGAAAAAAAAAGTGACTTATATCTAGTCCTCACCTGTGACTGGGCCACGGTCATATGAACAAAATCCAGGCCCTTGGCAACAGTTTATGATGAATGCAGAATCCTGGAGTCACATGATTGCCACACCTTCCCAGGTTTTTTTCCCGTAAGCAAAATCAAGAGAGCAAGCCAGATTGACTTAAACGCTACACGGTTCATTTAACAACGGCAGCGTAACAACAACGGTGAAAAATATTATAAAATCAGACGTGATTTAATTAACAACCCCCTCCTTGCTGATTCGTGGAAATTCCAGTTCCCCCCCCAAAAAAAACAGGTAAATCGAGGACTATTTTCTGTTCCACCACTTTCTGAGAAGGAAGTCTTTATGCTTCCAAGAGTCTAATAGAGCTTCCTTTATAATCAGTAATATTTATGAGGTCGATGACCAGCAATTTCTTTTTAAATAAGACAAAACAAACAAAAACAGAGGGAGGTAAATACAGTAAACTACCAGTAAGGTAAATCACAGAATATAAGATTCATTCATTTTACTATATTAAGAGTTATTACAGTTATTTACTAAGGTGATCAATCTAAAACATTAATAGCAGTAAAAATAACTATATATCCTCTATAATTAATAGCTGTACCCAACCAAATAGTGGGGTCTTGGAGGTCTTTGAGCTTGGCTGTTTTTTTTGCATACATTTCATTAACCAACTAGATAGATTGATGATGTTACTTAGTTGAGTCACAAAATGTTTGCCTATAAGCAAACAACTAAGCCCAGAGAGAATCAAGGACACCACAATCCTCCTCCTCCTCCTCCTCCTCCTCCTCCTCCTCCTCCTCCTCAGGGGTGGGATTCTACCAGTTTGCACCTATTCACTAGAACTGGTTGTTAACATTCTAAGCAGTTCAGAGAACCAGTTGTTACAAGAAATTACTGGCCTAATCCTGTAAGGAAGGCAGGAAGGAAACATTCTGGTGTTGCTTACAGAAACTGCCTCTCCATTAACCCTTATTACATTCTTGGTAGGACTAGACTTCCTGTATCTGGAACTTCTCTGGAGTTTTTTTTCCCCTCCTTTGCTGGTACTTTGCTTGTGTGGAGTAACCATTCAAAATTACAATGGCACTGAAAAAAGTGACTTATGACCATGTTTCACACTTACGACTGTTGCAGCATCCCCACAGTCATGAGAGGCCAGGCGAGGAGATGCGTGCCTCGATGTGAGTGATATTGAGTTGGCCACGCCCAGCCAATAACATGACCACCAAGCCATGTCCACCCAGTCATATGACCACCTAAGTCACACCCACCACCTAAGCCACGCCCACAGAACCAGTTGTTAAAAAATTTGAATCCCACTCCTCCTCCTCCTCCTCCTCCTCCTCCTCCTCCTCCTCCTCCTCCTCCATAAGGCCATACTTGAAATATGCAGTTTTGGTCACCATGATGTAAAAAAGATGTTGAGACTCTAGAAAGAGTGCAGAGAAGAGCAACAAAGAGGATTAGGGGACTGGAGGCCAAAATATATGAAAAAATGGTTGCAGGAACTGGGTATGTCTAGTGTAATGAAACGAAGAACTAGGGGTGACATGATAGCAGTGTTACAATATCTCAGGGACTACCACAACACAGAGGGAGTCAAGCTATTCTCCAAAGCACCTGAGGGCAGGACAAGAAGCAATGGGTGGAAACTAAGTAAGGAGAGAAGCATCTAAGGAGAAATTTCCTGACAGTGAGAACAATTAATCAGTGCCTCCAGAAGTTGTTATAAAGAAGTTGTGAATGCTCCAACACTGGAAGTTTCTAAGAAGAGATTGGATAACCATTTGTCTGAAATGGTATAAGGTTTCCTGCCTAAGCAGGGCATTAGACCAGAAGACCTCCAAGGTCCCTTCCAACTCTTACTCTATTATATTCCTCCACCTCTCCTCTTCCTAAACCCCACTCCCATCTAGCCCTGATGATGTTATCTATTTGGGTAAGGTAACGCAACATCTGCAAGAAAACAAACAAGTTCAGAGAGCACCAAAGATCCCCCCAGTTCTCCTCCTCTTCCATCAGACAAACCCACTCCCTTCTATCACTGACTTTACATCGTTTGTTAATGAAACCTTTTGAAAGAAAACCACCAAGCTCAGAGACCACCAAGTTCAACCCTAAGCGACAAATGTTCTCTTCTAAAAGCGATATAACCCAACACCCTCGTTCAATTTGCATTTTAACACCAGACTGCTTTGCAAATCAGGTATCAACAGCAGATCTCTTCCTAGCAATCTAGCCAACTCCATAGCTGTCAAAAGTGGGAGGTGTGACTTTCTTCACCCTTAAAAAATGGGGCGAGCTGGAGAAAGTTTGAATCATTTTAATTTAAAGACCATTTGTTCGTTTTAATGGGGTGATTTGCATCTAGTATATCCCTTTGCCTGTAAGTTTTTTGGAGTGGGGACCCTATGGCTCTATGCAAGATAAAAAATAAGGGACCCAAATAAAATCCAAGGTAAACAGCAAATGAGTTTGTAAACATGAGTTTGATGATGTTCCCTAGTTGGATCCTGAAATGTCTGCGAGAAAATAGCCAAGTTCAGAGAAGCATCAAGGACCCCCCACTATATAAATCATATTACAGTAAAAAAAAAAATGCATTGTATTACTCCAATTTAAAAAGACCTGGAATGCATTTGTGGCTTTTGTTTAATCATTATTTCCAACCTTCTCCGCTTGCTATTTGCCTGGGAAAAAAAATGGAAAGTGCACAAAGTGTAAATAGTGTTGCCACTCATTAAAAGATGGGAGAATTGAAATGCCCCCTTTTCCTGCCTGATTTTGCGCGCCCACAGACCATTCACTTAATTATAGTAAATAAAATGGAGCCTAAGAGCCATCTTAATGCAGCCTGATTCATTAACAATTAAAACTCTCTCTGCTCGCTCTTCTATTAAGCAGTCTCCTCAGGAAGTGGAGATCAACTCTGACTGGGGAGAAACTACAACATCGCGCATCCTGGTGGGGTTTAAAAAGAGTCGCAACATCACACAGTTTGAAGAAAAAAATGTCTGAGCTTCTTTAATTAAATAGCCAGGCAGGCTAATGAGAAGGCTCTGCCAGAGGGAAATTTGCAGAAGGAGGAGAATGATTTGAAGGATGGGAAGAGGGCGGGTCCACCTATCCCCCAAAGCACCAGAGGGCAGAACAAGGAACAACCCATGGAAGGTCATCAAAGAGAGAGCCAACCTGGAAATGAGGAAATTTCTGACAGGGAGAAGAATTAATCAATGGAATAGCTTGTGTTCCGGAGATATGGGTGCGCCATCGCTTGAGGCTTAAGAAAAGATTGGGCAGCTATTTGTCTGGGATGGTATAAGGACTCCTTCAATGGGCAGGGGGTAGGATTAGAAGGCCTCTGTGATGAACCAGAGTGTAACACAAACATAACAAAATCCAACACATAAATAAATGTCCTTTAATGCCTCCAACTTGGCCCCACTGTTCAATAATACTCAGTTGGAGATAAAACTTACTCAAAAATAGTCTTCAAAAGAGAGCAATACAGTCTGAACTTAATGAGCAGATAGAGGTGAAATAAAAAAAACAACCAAACAAACTACAATGATGGAATTTCCACAATGGAACAGGAGAAGTATTTACCAAATTCAAGGAGATAACAAGGCACAGTTCGTTGGAAGGACGCCAGCCAAGATAACTTCAGCCCAAAATAAAGCACGCTTTGCTTCTGGCAATGCTGTGTTGTAATCGTCTCTCTTATATACTAGTCTCCCCAGCTGCAACCAATGAGGGGGATCATGGCTGCCTCCTCTCTCGTAAGCCAAGTTGTTGCCTTCTCCGTTCCTCCCTGCATGTCCTAGGATGCAGAGGGGATGGGCCTGGTTCTTCCTCTGACTGCCCAGCCGGCCTCTGCCCTTCCTCAGCCTCCTCCACAACCTCCGGAGCCACACCTCCACTCCCTGTCAGCTGTTCCTCCTCTCCCTCAGAGTCCAACTCTACCAAGGGCATGACAGCCTCCAAGATCCCTTCTAGCACTATGATTCTATGATTCTACGGTTTTACAGTTCTACAATTCCATAATTCTATGGTTTTATTCTTCTATGATACCATGATTCTATTCCATGGTTCTCTTGTTTTGGGATTCTATGATTCTGTGGTTCTATGATACCATGATTCTATGTTTCCATGGTTCTTTAGTTCTATTCTTCTGTGATTCTATGGTTTTATGATTCTATGATTCCATGATTTTATTGTTCTATGAATCCATGATTCTATGGTTCTGTAGTTCTATTGTTCTATGATTCTTTGGTTGTATTGTTCTATTATTCTATGGTTCTATGATTGCCTAATTCTATGGTTCTATGATTCCCT